CCCCCAGCTTGTTTCCTTTGACAACTGCGGAAGAAAGTGCACGGGGCTTCCAGGCGAACCGTGAAGTTGCGTGTGCGTGGCAGGGTGCGTGGGAGTGTTTGTGTGTGCGTGTGTAATCCGATCCGCTCCGTCTGTCCCAATCTTCCTTGGAGCTTCCTCACAGGGTGGGCTCCACCTGCTGTGGTTAAGAGATTGCTCTTGAGTCTTTAGCATTTTGGGGGCAGTTCGGGCGCTGGGACATTTGAGGAAGATCGTCTAGTTCTTTTCTAAATCGGGCTGACTCACTGAGCCTCTGTAGACAGTGACTGGCTTCCGAAGAGTGCGTGTTTGCGTGCGTGTGACTTGCTGCTGCTGCTGAAACTCCCACGAAACCACAGGAGAAGCCACAAGCCAACATCCCCAAACCCCAGTTCTCAGAGAGGGTGGAGACTTGTACCCTGAGTACATCATCGACTTGGACTTTTTTTTTTTTTTTAAGATTAGAGCAAGCTCTTTGAATTTCCTGCACTGAGAGTTTTACCAGAATTTATTGCGAGAACATGACAAGTACTTCTAGCCCAGCCCTGCTCCAACTACTGAAGCTGATTTTCAAGGCTACTTAAAAAAAAAAAAAAATCTGCAGTGAACATTAATGGATTTCTGTTGTGTTTAAATTCTCTACAGATTGTATTGTAAATATTTTATGAAGCCGAGCATATGTATATATTTATATATACGTGCATATACATTAGTGGCATGACCTCTGGAAATCGCAGCTCTTGCTTTTGAGGACCGAAGCCGATTTTGCTTGATAAAGTGGCGCTGTGTATGGAAGACACTCGTGCATTTTGTTTTCTATTGGGACTCTAGAGGGGGGAGAAAAAATCACCTGGAAAAATCTGACAGGCGATTAACTACTGGAACTTGCAAATTATGTCTTTGCTGGCTGTTTTACTCGCTGCGTAAATATTTTAGAAAGTGTGTGGGAACTTTGCCTCCAGGAACTTTTGTTAAAGCCAAAAACTGAAACTCTCAAAGCAAGACGCAGACGAAGATAGTCTCCCTCGGCATTTGGATTCTTGTCGCCCACTTTTTACTGCACTAAACGGTCAATTACTAGGAGCGGGGCCTGGGTCTGAGACAGATCTACTTCATTAGAACTTTCCTCTTCCCGGACTCAACTTAGTCTTCCCTCATCCCCGCCCCTGTCCCAGCCCCCTGCAGCAATAAAGGCCTTGAACTTGTATGTTGGTCTCCCGGGAGCTGCTGGCTGAGGATCCTCGCCCCTGTCGCCATTTGGTAGGAGCTGTTTGCAAGGTCCTAACTCAATCGGCTTGTTGTGATGCGTATCCCCGTAGATGCCAGCACGAGCCGCCGCTTCACGCCGCCTTCCACCGCGCTGAGCCCCGGCAAGATGAGCGAGGCGCTGCCGCTGGGCGCCCCGGACGCCGGCGCCGCCCTGGCCGGGAAGCTGAGGAGCGGCGACCGCAGCATGGTGGAGGTGTTGGCCGACCACCCGGGCGAGCTGGTTCGCACCGACAGCCCCAACTTTCTCTGCTCGGTGCTGCCCACGCATTGGCGCTGCAACAAGACCCTGCCCATCGCTTTCAAGGTACTCGGCCTGAAGGGGTGTCGGGAGGGAGGACTGTCGAAGGCCGGCAGAGGGTAGTGGCCCGGCACGTGGGTCTGGGGGGTCTATGGCTAGGAGGGCGTGGTTCCCCCAAGGCCCCTGGTCCAGCCCAGTGCGCTCTGGACGCTGGGGATGCTGCGTTGCCCTGGCGACCCTCGGGGGACCCCGCCTAGGAGCGCGCAGGATGCCTCCCCAGAGGGCTGGGAAAAAAATTAGAATGCTTCCAAAGAAGTCAATGAGGGGCCCTAGGGAACTCCATACAGGAGTCCTGAGCTTACATACAAAGTAAGAAAAGTTGTGACTGAGCGGGGACGGGCCTGTCTCTTCCACGCTTTACACACACACACACACACACACACACACACACACACACACACACACACACACACTTTCTCTCTCTCCCTCTGAGTTGACACTCAACTGTTTGTCTTTCTCAGATAAAGACGTCAGAAAATAAAACCGAGATTCTGTTATACCTTCTTGTCTGTGAAAATAAACTCACGCGGGACCCTGTCCTCCACCCCCACCTTTCCCCTTCCCTGTAAGAATTAGCATGTCCAAAGTTCACAGCAGGCGTAGTTAAATTCTCCGAAGTTTTCTGCAGAGTTTTGGGAGCTGATAGATTGTCTCTGCCAGATGTCCCAAGTGTCTAATCCTGTGTCTCTTACCGGGAGCCTCCTTGAACTTTTTCCCTGGGCTCACCTAGATTAAGCTCCTGGCCAGGAAAAGTGACCAGGCTCTCTCCAGGAGCCCGAGGTCCAATCTGTGAAGATGAATTTTATGCAAGGCAACTACAGCCTCTCAACTCCGGAGGTCTTCATTCGCTTTTCACTCCTGATACTTCCCTAGCTTTGAACTGCCTTTGAAAACCTTGGCCTTCTGCAGAGATACATAAACAACCCAGGGCTGCTTTAAACAACCACTCCACCACCTTAGTAGCAAGCAGGGGAAAATACTGTGGTGGGCACTTTGTTCTTGTCTCTTGAGTGAGTTTAAGAAGGGGTAGATTTTCAGAAGAGGCAGTAAAATAATTTCCTGTTAATTTAAAGGGGGTAAAGAAAGTAGATGATACTAGCTGCAAAATTGACCTTTTGTCCCCAATTATTTTTTCTGAAATAATTTTCCCTTTTAAGAATCAATTAATTTAATGTAAATTTTTAAAAATTTTCCAAGTCTTTGCTAGACTCAACCTAATCTCAGTGAACAATGTTAATAATAAATATTGTCTGGGTTCACGGTTTTTAAGTTTTCTATATTTCCCAAACTTAGATTGTGATTTCTAAAACAAAACTAAGTTTGTAACTATTTGTATCTCTGGAATAGTCTCCTTTTTCACTCATTATGAAAGCAGGGTTTTGGGGGAGAGGAAATGAGGAAAAGGGGTGCAGTGGAGAGTTAGCTGCAAGATTCTTTCTCTTCCCTTCCTCCATCTACCTAAATTTGGGGTTCCATTTAAAGTCATTCTAATGTCTTTATATAAACTGACCCAGCCAACAAATTTCCTTAGCCTTGGTGTTGGGCCTAGGCTCACTCTTAGTTGGATGTAGTGGGGAAAAGATAAACAGATCATCAATCTAAAGGGTCATTTAAACCTTGATACCCCTGACACTCACAAGAAGTGGATTCTAAGGAGTTTGGGGCTCCATGGTTGGGGTGGGGGGAAAGTCAAGGTCTCTTCTGGAGTGTCCTGCCTCTGCCAGGGAACTCACACTCAAACAGATCAAAACATTAAATTATTAGCAAAAAATCTTCAGGACATCATGTTATATAGTTTCTCAGGCTACCACTATGAAAGTATTTTCTTTGAAGAGAATGAAAATTCATGTAATTCCTTTTAGCAGAAATCCTAATAGCTATAGTGGTTACCTTTGGAAATTTAAAAAAAAAAAATTCTGAGTCTGTAGGTTGCTAAAATATTAAGGGTTAGATCTCTAGGGGGGGCGGAAATGTTGAAGTAGATCTTGAGAACATTTAGGGGAGAGGAAGGGACAGCAGACCAGAGCAATCAGGCCACTTGATTAATATCTGTCAACGCTCCTGTCCTGGTAAAGATAGGCCTCTTCCTGAAGAAGACCTGCTCATTGCATAACTGAAAGAGGAGACACATTTTTCAGTGAGTGAGTAAATGCCAAAGTTAGGATAAAAAAGTAAATGAAACTTCAAATCGTGACTGCATTCTGATTGATTTAATGAGTGTTCCTGACTCCATTCTCTATACTTAATACTTGGCCACCCCATTCCCACCCCCTACCATTTCTACAAAAATTATTATTTTAATATTTGGATTTTAGTTAAGCCCCAATCTCTCTAAGAGGTTAATCACCCCCCAAAATGGTTGTATTCCTTATCGTAAAGAGGAGAAAGTGGCAAGACACGGTAAAAGTCTGATAGTGATGAAAAGAATTTTCTTCGCGTGCTTCTTCAGAAATCTTCCTAAACTCAATGGCAATCATTTGTTTTAATCTTTGCAAATTAAGGGAAATTTAAAATTATTAATTTTCTCAAAATAGATTAAAATCATCCTAATTGTTTAACTTGGACCCCAACCTGTTCCTTCTGCCCCTTCTGTCCTTTCTGTTTTAGTATAGGGGGAAAATGTTCATATTTTATTACTGAGAAAATTCTGAAATTTGCTGCGTATCAGACAGTATTTGCGGAAGTAGTCTAAAAAAGCTGGTTGGATGGTTTCAAGTATATTTTGGACTTGTATAATATTATGATTTGTTTAGACCATGGTAAACCATAGTCCAAAGGCATTTACATGCCTTCAGCAGGAACATTTAGAGGTAGCGGATGCTTGTAGTAACATTCTTTTCATAAGAAATCAGTGATGTTTCTGTTAGCAAGATCACCTAGGTATGCATTAAATATCATCATGGCTGAGTGCTAAGTTCCACTTCACAGCCTTCTTTGAAACACTGGAAAATTAAGGGATTTAAATGAAATGAGTTGTTAACTGTAATTTCAACCTAATTAGAGTTGATTTCAAATACCAATCTAAACTGTGAACGGGCTGGCCAAGAGTAGTATTGGAAGAAACATAGTGTATACAGAAAGGCTGATACTTTGCCCAGCTTCCTGATACTTTAAGAACAGAGAAGTAAAAGAAAATATGAGATATCTTTGCCAGCAAGTCCCATCTTGTCTATTTGGTCTCTGTGAAAATATAAATGTTTGTGTTTCCCTACCTATTGTTTATAGCTTTTCATCCTAGTCTTATCTTTTCTACTGTTTGACGTTAGGCAATTTTTTTTCCCCATTCTCTTCATACTGACCATCAATGACAAATTTTGTATCAAATTAATAGAAATGATTATTTAAAATATTTTTCTATAATCTATGTTTGCTAATAACTGATGGTATGCATTATTAATGAACTTTCCCTGGGTTTAATATCATCCCCCCCATCAACCCCCTCAGGGATCAATAAAAACCAAATAAGTGGTCTGTGAACACCCAAATAACTTTGATTTCTGCCTCATTTAAAAAGGGAGGGGGTAATTAAACTCCTAATATTTTTAAGCCTTAACTCCAGCATCAGCCACCTTTTATACTTTAGCTTGCATAATCGTTTTATTCTTGATTTCTTTCTACTTGATGGCAGTCTCCTGAATCTGCCAAATTACTACAGAGGACAGCATAGGAAAGAGGAGAAAGGCAGAGACGTGGAGTGCTGGGAAAGGAACCCCGGTAGGAGGAAGGTGATTTAGTTATAAAACAAGATTTATTTATTTTAACTTCTTTACCGATTCAGCCCCAACAATGAGTTATTCAGTTTGAAAAGCATGTCGTTGATCCAGCCCCTGTATTACTCAGTGAATGCTGAATTAAAATAGAGAAACTTGGGTCACCACAGGGAGAAGGGGAATGAGGAAGTAAAAGTATATGTTCAATGAGGGCATTTCAACACTGTGAGCTACTTTTACAGAGGGAAGTGAAAACCATGAAAAATGGGAAAATTGTCAAGTGATTGAAAAGTGCAAAATAAAGCAAACACATTTTGTAGAGATAGGGGGAAATGACAACAAGCCAATAACTGATTAGGGAGACTTATTTCATTGTGGTTATTTGTTTTTAAACAAAGAGGAATTGTCATATTACTGCTCTTAATTAAAAGGCAACAACAATACAAAAGCATCTATTATGGGGACTAAGTGCCTAATTAGAGGAAATTCAGGGAATAAATAGCAGTGTTTTAAACTACCCTTTAGAGAAAATAATTGATGGAATAACTAAAAAGAAAGATTAATGCCCCAAATCTTGTATAGCAATATAGAAGTTGGCTAACATAGATGAGGAAGATGCCTGCCTATAGCCATGTAGAGTTGATGATCCTGGAGCAGCACTGAAGGTAGAAGCATATTCATCTCCCATCAAGAGTCAATTCATTTACTGTCTTTAGATACTTAGCCCATTGTGATGAGTAAAATGACAGGCACCTGGAGGACATAGGGCAGGGGTGATGACTAAGAAACAATGCAGATAGGAATTTTGAGCAACTTGGCTTTGATATTGCACAAATGGATCTCTGGTGGCCTTATATCCATTTAGAGAGGACCAAAAATACAAGAACTTAGAAGGAAAAAAAATCTGTAACAATTACTAGGTAACACATAGCAGCCAGGAAATGGGAAAATGAATAATCACAGTGGATTTAAAGATTTGTTTCGGTTTTGTTTTTTTGTTTTTTTCACTGTCACCAATTCCAAAACAATACCACAAAGATTAAATACTTGATATCCCGAGCACAGATTTGCAGAGAAGGACCCCATGAGAAATGTTGGAATGTATAGGAACAAATACAACATAGAGCACACTGACTTGAAATTCTACAACCACATAAAAGAAAAAACAGAAATGATAGACAATAATAAGTGTCTAGACTATGAAAAGAGTCAAAGTGGGGGGGGGGGACTTAGAATTAAACAATACTGCATGAAGCGTCTTCATAACATGCTCTTTCGATCTTTTCATCCTGAAATTTACCTTTGTGGGTGTTTTGGTGTGGGTTTGGATTTTTTTTTTTTAATTTCCTGAGTATTAAAAATATTTCACTGATTGGCCCTGAATCAAGACCAGCAGTTTGATGGAACTATTGGTTTCAAGCAGGAGCCTAAAGAAATACCTTCCTATGGTCTGTTGGCCATTTCAGAACTTTGGAAGTGTAATGGTCAATTCATTAGAAAGAAACAGCTCAGTCATAAAAAAAAAAAAAAAAATTTCACTGAACAGTTATCTTCAGTAGCTCTGATAAGAAATCAATATCTACTCAATTATAAGAAATTCTTCCTCAAGATCCACCAGGTTTGGTGAAAACATCAGTCATCCGTTAAGACATATTCATTCACTGTGCTCACAGACATAAAAACATAATCCAAAGTCACCTCTGAATTGAAGGGAGTGTTTGAAGGGGGGGAGTCCCAGTCTTCTGAGATTTGTTGAATTAGCAATAAACAAAGGATATGTTTCTTTTTTTTTTTACCCTTATCTGCCAGAATTTAAATTTTACCTGCTAGTGAATTCCAAGATAATAAAAATGAGTTGTTGTTGTATAGCTGACCCTCCAGCTGGTTTTCAGAGACAGAAAATCACATGGGAGGAGATTGATTGTACATCCTTCTCCTTCAGAGCAGCTGGTAGATTCAAACCTTGGGCCTTTGGGATTGTAGCACAGTTTATGAGCACTGCTGAATGACAGATTACATCATTCAGGAACCATCAGTGCAGTGGTAAAGAACAAATTGAATTTTAGAAAAGTTTAAAGGGTTGAAGGTTAAAGTTGAAGTCCTGTTAGGCCTATCATTGGAGAACTGGGGGAGCAGAAGAGGGATTAGTTTATATATTTAGGAGAACAAGACATTTTGCCTCTGAAACATCAGGGACTACAAAGAGATGACTGGGAGGATGTAGTTTTCCAAAGTAGTTATTGTAGTTATGTTCCAATTGTATAGTGGGACCTATGGGTAAATAGATCATCATTTATGCATTTAGTTGTGCGTAACAGTGAAAAGTGAATGTTTTCGTCCATAACGCCTCTATTGTTTTGCTTAAGTTATATTGCTATTCCTGTGCAAACTACAACGTACTATTGAATAAAACTTCATTTTTTATCCATTACTGCACGGACTACATGTAAGTTTTTGCACACCCCCCTAATGTCTGAATTTGTCCCTTGACCGGTACTTAGGTGGTGGCTCTGGGGGATGTTCCTGATGGCACTCTGGTCACTGTGATGGCTGGCAATGATGAAAACTACTCGGCCGAGCTGAGAAATGCCACCGCGGCCATGAAGAACCAAGTCGCAAGATTCAACGACCTCAGGTTTGTCGGGAGGAGTGGAAGAGGTATGTGTCTGCCAGAATTGAACTCCTCATACAAAGTTTTTATATGGTAATAATCTTAGATTTCAAACTCTAGAAATTTCTCTGGTGGAATCCGTAGACATATCATTCTCTACAGTTGTTAACTGTTATATCAAGGTTTTTTAAAATAATTGCTTAGTATTTAATATTTTAAGCAGACTCTGACTTTATATTGTTGCTTGTAATTCTTGAATTGATGTTAAAACTAATTTAGAACATGCAAAGCATGGATACGTGGCAAATGATAGATGGCTTATAATAATTTTACATGTATGATATTGAAACATGGTTTGATTTCCAGCAAGTATATCTTTTTATGATAAAATATGAAAAAAAATCATACTAATACTATCCTGGTTTAGTCAATTTGATGTCACTATGATGTTCTTAATTATGTTTCTTCTAAATGGAGGGGGCCAAACAGTTATCATTTTAATAAAAATGAATATTGGATTATCCAAAGGAAATACTCTCTAGTTTTATTCCCCATTGTTGTTAGTCCACGTTCAAAGAATTAAGTCAGAAAGAGGAATTTTGAATTATTTAATCATCTCTGACTTATTTTAAAGCATTGTGTACTTTCTGTATTATAAGAACTATAGCCATAACCTATAAACACCAACAAGTACTAAACGTCTACTATAAAGAAATAGGGTAGCTTATCACAAAGCCTCAGTCAGCTTTATACATTGAATAAGCTTGTAAATGGAAGTTATTTCAAATATTGCAAAAGAACTTAGGATGAATACCTAAATGGCAGTAGATTATTCTTACACAGAAAAAAAAAAAACCCAAAAAACCAAACAACACAAAAGCATAACCATAAAGTATGTCACTAATCATCACTCTTCATAGAGGCATTCAGAAACTTTTTTTTTAAAGCCTGTGTTCTCAGGGAACTTGATTTGTCCAAGGAGAAGAAATATGTTTTTAAAATTGTTTTTGCCATTGTTGTTATCCTAGCTCTCTAGAGCGTTTTCAAAATAGAATAGCTGGAGAAAATAAAAACTTATAATGTGATTAAAAATATATGTTCACAGCACCAACTATGTTAATAATAGGGCAATGCAAAGAAAATTATATCCACTTATTGAAAGTATGAGTGATGCTGAACTGTATAAAGGCACAAGTCATTAAATGGGTTCACTCGTTATATTAAGAGTCCCCACCTTTCCGTAAATGGAATTTGCATTATGATTCAGGGATATCTGTTTAGAAAACATCTTGCTGGCTTCAGAGGAGTAGCTGGCTGAGTGGGTGAGAATCCATTGCAGAACAAAGACCCACAGCCTCGTCCTTGCCTACCAGCTTGAGGAATGATCTTAATTCAATTTTTGTGCATTTCTACGACTAGTAATCTCTAGCTGAGCCTCATTTGTTCCTCCAGAGAAAGTATCATTATCATAATATGCATCTATGTGGATCTCTGTGTCAAGTTAGGGTTGTAAAAGTTTTGGAAAGTATTTAATGGCCCATGCCTGTGACTTTTCCCTATAGAAGTCTACTAATGGCTTTCTGACGATGTGCAATAAGTTGGTGATAATCAAGAAGGAGATTTTGAAAGCTGTGTCCCTCCTTTCCTGGCTCTGAGGGCTGCCCTGAGCCCCTCATTGGCCATTGCTGTTTTGAGTGGGTGACTAATAGTGCTGATGTTTACTTGGGTAACAGTGAACTGTTTCCCCAAGGTGTGGATTGTTTGCCTTGGGCTGCTTGATTTGTGCCAGCATGTCCTTGAGGCTGGGCTGTCTTCTGATACCCTGGAACAACAACAAAAAAAATTAATTGAAATGCCCATAAATGGACAATATTTGTTTTGAGCAGGAACTGCTTCCCACGAGTGATGATAAGCAATCAAAAAGACAGGACCCTAATTGAACGTTTGACCCAATTATGGTTACCCTGTGTCTTGCTGGTCTGCAGTGAATTTCTTTTGGTCAGTGCGGCAAAACAAAATGAGCTGTCAAAAGGCCCGATTTGACGCTAGCTTATAATTTTTCTCTATAGTCGTAAAATACAACTTGATTCTGCTCTTTCAACCGTAAATGTCAACATCAAAGACTGCCAGATATTTTTTTCCAATTTACTTCCATTACTAAGAGAACAGTGATTCTACCTAATTTTGACAATTAGCGCTAATCTCTCACACTGATTCATAGTCCTTTAAAAATTTCACTACATTTTATTTTGAGAATCTTAAAAAGTATCTACTCCATCATTTTCTGTTTTTGAAAATGAACCTCTGAACATTCCATCAGCATTGACAAACCAGGGAGTCCTGGATGTGGGCTCATTTCATTGTTTAACTTCACCTTCTTTCCAAGGTCACTGGTCTCAGTGGGCAAGCTAGTGTCCTGTTCAGAATGAAGGGTGGAAGGAAAAAGAAACAACCCATCAAAACCATTGTTGTCAGCTGATTCCAACTTAGGATGGCCCTCCCTATGTATGCAGAGTAGAACTTGAGTTAGCATGGCCAGCCAGCAGCAGATTGCCAGGCCTTTCTTCCGAGACTCCCCATGGTGAATTTGAACAATCAGCTCTTCTGTTAGCAGTTGAGTGCTTTAACTTTTACACTACCCAGGGGCTCAGTAGAAGGAAGAAAAGCTCCCTTTTCTTTCACCAGCTGCCAGTCTGTGCAGATCGTAAAACCTCACAGAAATTGCCAGAGGTTCAAGAAGGAAGGATTTTTCTCTGTTCTACAAAACCGATCTGTCTGGGCACTGGCTGATGTCCAGAATCACAGCTCCTAACCTCGGGTTCAGCCACGACTGGGAGAACCTGCCCTTCCGGCTCTGACGGCCTTCTTGACTACATGCCAGCCCCAAAAATATGGGTGAAGGCCTTCTTAGCCTGAAACCTGTCTTTTCTTCCTGTCCCTCTCACTTCTCCTTGTCAGCTGAAATCTCACTCAGGGTCTATCTCACCCTTGGAATTCTCTGCTTTTGATGGATTATCATGCAAATTGATCATTCCTTTACAATAGAAGGAGAGATAGCAACTGGAGGAGATGAGAGATAGCGTGTTCTGGGAAGTGGAACTAAATTCCAGAGGTTAGATTGAGCACACAGGTTTTTGTCCAGAACATTCACATTTAACCCAATGTTCCCAGCCCATCTACCACCCACCAGAAAAATCAGAGTTCATTCTAATAAGATTTTGTCTAAGAATTCTCTGGTGAGGTTAATTAGAAGCAATTTACTTCAGTGTCACTACTTTTGATACAGATGCCACCACTATTTTCAATTATGAGAAAATGTGCATCCTTGGCTACAGCTTGGGAGAGTTGAGATATTTTAGTGACAAAATTTGTGAGCTCTGCACTGGAGAATTTAATCAGTTGGAAAAGAACCTATCAATCAGCAAAAACAGCTTTAGTTAATTTATTGTAGAACCAAAGAGGAAATCTACCAGACCTTATCATTAACCACACCAGAAATGAGAGAATCTATTACAGACTTTATTCTCATTTTTCTTTCTAAGAATATAATTTTTAATCTGGGAACAGCATAGATAAACTTGAAAAGCCTTAATAGGAGCTCTCTCCAAAAGTTAATATGAACACACATGTATATAGAATTTTTTTTTTTTAATTTGACAGGATTTTATTTTACTTGGGTCCCCAACACACAACCACCAAGCAGCAGTCCAGAAATCAAACTACATACTGTATTGGCAAATTTGATTGTAAAGACCTCTTTAAAGTGCTAACAAATCAGATTATCAGTTGCAATACATGGTATACTCAATATTTTTCATCAGCACAATTAAACTGCATTAATTTTTCTGTATATAGAATTTTAAGTGTGATTGCCTTTTAAAGCTCATCTGTGGGATTTTCCAGGGATCTGTTGGCCTCAGGCCAAGATTTTGAGTTTCGCCTCCATGGTGGAAGATCAGAGTAGATACCTGGGGAACGTAAATAAATAAATGGATAGAAAAGATAGTCTTCCATCCCATGTTCTTTTGGTAACGACTGCTTTTCACTGTGGAGTCCTTGGATGGTGCAAAGAAAGAGTTAACACTCTTGGAGGTTCAAGCTTGGAGGTTCAAGTACACTCAGAGGCACTTAGGAAAAAAGACCTGACAACCTGTTTCCAAAACTTCAGCCCTGTTTAGTACAACTCTACTCTGGCACATGGTTGCCCTGAGTTGAAGTTGGCTTAATGGCAACTGGGTTTGGTTTTAATTGTAGCCAGGAACTGGTTTGTATAAATGGGGAAATAGATCTCATCCAAAGCACTATCCCAGGCCTCTTGATGGTCATCAGGTCATTGCTGGCAAGGGGTTAGTTAGGAACAATGCATCTGTAACTAAAGGACTGTTTCCCTTTCAGAGAACTCACTACTCCAGCTGCAGAACCACAATCTGCTATTTACCCCCAAGTTCGTGAAGCCACGTGCTTTAATGTGGCCCTGGTAGATGAGGTTAATTTCTTAGAGGAATTCATGTTTATGTTGACCTCCCTGGCAACTTTAATCTTTCCTTTCTGAACAGTACTGGTTCCCAGTGCTTTTGTAAATGAAATTCTTTCATGATGTTCTTGTTCCCAGACATAATATTTATCCTGTCCCAATCTGGGTTGGTGCATATTTGTATACTGTTCATTGCTTAAGGCATTTTCATTCTTAAACTAAAGACTGTTTTAGATGACGAGAAGGTCCATTTAGGAAAGGATCAACTGTATTCATGTTCCAAACGAAAGGAGAGATATCTTTATGTGGAGGTTATTACAGAGAAATGGCTTGAATGACTCACAGTATTATCACAGGCTCCAAGTCATTCTCTGTTGGGTCATAGATTCATAAGATGATGGAAGGAAAAAATTCATCTGAAAAGTTCCAGGGTTATTTATAGATAACATTAAAGATATAAGTTCGTTATCAGACCTCCTGGGAAGACTATTAAAAAATAGAAAGAGTTAAAAAAAAATTTAAAAGTGGCCGTAGACTTGTCAGAGAAGTCTGCTCCATGGTTTTGGGTTGTTT